GCAAACGTATGTTTGCTATAGCAATCGACATCTCATTACACTGATTTACTGGTAGTCTCGAAACCCTACTTGCATACGAATATAAAATAAATGGATATAGAACGATTTGATTAGTCCTTTCTTAAAGTAAACTGAGTGCTCATATTTGAGTGTATGTGTGTATGTTCGTGTGCAATTAAACTGACTTATGATTGGAATTGGGCACTCTGACTTACACGTGTACAGACATAAATACAAGCACACATGCACAACCATGTTCATTCATAATTACTCTGATGAATGTGAAAGGGAAGTAATGAAATCATTCTATATCCCTCTATATCTATCTCGATATTTTCGCTTTTTGGTTGCCGGATTCATCCAAAACGGGGTAAAATGTCAGTACCACTACGGCAATCGGCCGGCGTCTTCCAGTGAGATCAACCAAAGAACCTGTTTATCATGCAGTTTCATGCGAAATGAAAGTCTCCAAAACGACGCTATGCCAAAAGAGTCCTCGAAACTCAGCATGAAAAGAAGGCCTAATAGAGGCGTTCAAGGCAGGGAGGTGGCGGTGCTTACAGAACAGGTTGACGACAACAAAATGGCTTCCGTAATTGTTCTCAGCTCTACATGAATAGTTTCCGTAATCTCCGTAGCGCACATTCCGGATAGTAAGGATAGAGATGACGTCCGTCACCTGAAAGAGAGCAGAAAAGCGGGCGGTTAGCTGAGGCGTGTGGCAAATAAAAAACAAATGAAAACTCCCCTCTTGTGGGCCTATTTGTAGTTTCAGTTGAAAATGAGAGTGGAAGTGGTTCGTAAATTGTTGGAGTGCGTGAAGAAGACTTCAGCTGCCCGTTCCGCATAGTCCAGAATAATCCGAGCCAGACTCTCGACACTGCTACGTTGACAAACATAAACAGAGTCAGAAACCAGAATTTAGGAAAAAATTGGCCAAAACACCAAACACCAAAAGGTGTCAGAATGGAATCATTTCATTCTTCTTTTCAAGCGATATGAAGAGAGTCCTAGAGACCAAGCCTTCCTGAATAACTATTCTATCGTGCTTACAGGACGTAAGGATAGAGCTTTTAGCCTCCGCCAATCAGAAGCGGAAGTTTCCACAAAACGCCTGACTGATTGCAAAAAAAGTGAAGAATACTCATTTTTAATTTATAATTAGAAATTCGAGACTACAAGTAAATCAGTAATATGAGACTTATTCACCCCATTTTTTTAAGGTGATCAAGGACCGCAATCATATAAGTACAGATGACGTTTCCATTGAATTTGACGTCTTGCTTTCTCAAAAGATGTTCTCATCCCGGCTGAAATGGGTTGTTGTTTCGACGTCGCATTGGTCTTATCAACACCCTAATCAGGACTCAAACCATGACAAACTCTGCTTATAAACTAAAGACAAGTAATGTGCTCGATTGTTGAAGCAAACATAAGTTGGCTTCATCGATAATCCCAACACAGAATGTGATATA